TGTGAGTGTCCTAGAGCCTGAGGGAGATTCGAATGCAAAGTCGTGTGGCATGGAGACCCCCACTGACCGAAACACACGCACGTTCTCTACTCATGCCCTGTGTATGTCTCTCAGCAGGTGGTGGCTTCTTGAAGATACAGATGGCGATTTATTCCCTATGCCACCTGTCCCCATCGTCCTTTAACAGGAAGTGAGATTTATGAAGCAGGAGCTCAATAAATACTTGTGAAATGGACTCAGAGTACAGAATCTGTTCTGATCATCAGTAAAAACAACTCAATTGTCACGCAATTTTATTCAGAGTCTAGGGACTAGACAAGCCAGAGAGTAAGGAAGATACCAGCAGAAGTTAAAGATGCTGCCTCCAGCCTTCCCAATGGGTGCAGCAGAGCAGCTACTGCCTTCCTGAAGTGCAAGACTATGGGGAGCTGCCAATGAGCCATACTAAGCATCCTCTCTCAGCCTTGGCCAAGGGGGTATTGGTCTGGCATTGCAGTTGTCTGGGATGCACCATGCAGGTGGTCTCCACCTCTTGGCAAAGAAATCTGCTTTCTCATGGTTCTGGAATTGGGTGTTACCCATTGGGGCTAGGTCAGCCCACCCCCTGCCTTATTTGGTGAAGAACATTTTTGAAACTCTTTTGTTAATTTCCCTATAAATAAAGGGATTCCAGGTGCATGCTCTCTTTCCAGTGCTCTTTCCAGCGTGGAAGCTGACCCTTAAGGTCACAAAGCCATCCTGCCCTTGGTTCAAAACCTACTCTGTGTTGTGTGATTTTTCGCTGCTTTCTTACCTTAATGTTGCAGCCAGCTCTTTTAAACCCAGTTCTTCTCGTCTGTGTGGGTTGGAGTCAAGACATGACTCCAACTGTTTAAAAATATATATTTTTAACTTCCTCACTGAAAAAAAAAATTTGTTTTTCCATGCTGAGAATCAAACCCAAGGCCTCATATATATTAAGCACTTTACCACTGAGCTCTACAAGGCTCTCAATAAAACTCCTGTAACATTGTGGTCAAATATTTTCCAAGTTCCTTATTTTAGACACATATGAGACACATATAATATACACTCACACTACAAATACATATACACATACATGAACTTATATAGATTTCACACCTGCTAGATGCCTCCAAAGGCTGGTTTCCTTCTCCTTCCCCCCACTCCACCCTGTGGGCTTTAATTCATTAAAGTTGAGTTAACTACACAGATTCCTTTCTGAAAGTGTGATTTGGTGGGAGAAGGGAGCCTGAGAGCTGAGGGAGGAACTGGGGGAAAGGTGCCATTTGCTCCAAACGAGAATGTCTGGGAGCATCTGCACCGTCAAGGCTGCTTGACACTGAAAACCCAGGCTGGGCATGCATGAGACTGTTTCAGAAAAATCCAGCTGAAAGGGAACTGGGACTCTCCTGAGAAAACCCTTCATATTCTACTTTCCTATTGTATCTAGTGCCTGCGTTTTCCACTTTAGAAAGCGTGTTTACATCTCCTATGAAGCATGCAAGGTTTACTTTCTTTGAGTGTGACCCAGAAAAACAATAGGAAGGTGTCCTATTGTTGTAGATAAAAGAAAGAGATGAAACCTTCCCCAAACCCCCCAACCATTTTGAACAATAAAATCTAAATTATTTAAGAATTTAAATTGTTTGTGGCTTGTCTTTAAAGGAAGCATGGGGATTATGTAGAATTTTAAAATGTGTTCTTTCCTTTGAACATTTTTTAAGTTCTACAGTGAGATATAGAAAACAAAGATTTCTCAGGTGCTTAGAAATAAAGAGACACAAGGCTAGGAAAATGGTATTATGAGTAGCTTTGCTTTCTAGCTAACTTAATCTTTAATAAAATCATTGCGCAGGGCTGGGGATGTGGCTCAAGCGGTAGCGCGCTCGCCTGGCATGCGCGCGGCCCGGGTTCGATCCTCAGCACCACATGCCAACAAAGATGTTGTGTCTGCCGAGAACTAAAAAATAAATATTAAAAATTCTCTCTCTCTCTCTCTCTCTCTCTCTCTCTCTCTCTCTCTCTCAAAAAATAAAAAATAAAAATAAAATAAAATCATTGCGCAGTTTTTAAATACCTTTGGCAAATCTGGCATTTCTCAAATGTATGCAAAACTTCTTAGAAGTGTTGACTGAAAAGGCATACAATTCAGTCAGAAATGCCTAAGTGAGAATTTGAGGCCAGGTGCAGTGGTGCACACCTGTAATCCCAGTGACTTAGGAGGCTGAAGCAGGAGGATCATGATTTCAAAGCCAACCTCAGCAACTTCACAAGGCTCTGAGCAATTCAGTGAAACCTTGTCTCTAAATAAAATGTAAAAAAGGGCTGGGGATATGGCTCAGTGGTTAAGTGATCCTGGGTTCAATCCCCGGTATCAAGAGAGAGAGAGAGAGAGAGAGAGAGAGAGAGAGAGAGATTGAGATTTTTTCCCTCTGATTAAGCTTGATTTTGTCAATATTTGTTCTTTCCCAGCCATGATTCTCCTGTCCTTCCATTTCTGATTCTGATCTAACTGTACTTTTAGAATATCAATGTTTTTTGTTCACATAAATTATATTTTTCTACATTAGAATCACGTGGGAAGCTTGTATTTTTTCCAGATTTATTGAGGTATACCTGATAAATAAAATGGTATAAATTTAAGTTATACAATGATTGGCTAGATGTAAACATTGTGTAATGATTACCACTATCAATCCACTCACCCATCACCACACAATTATCATGGTGTGTGGGGAGATGGGGTGTGCACACTGTGTGAGCCTGGAGAAAGAATATTTATGAGCTAGTCTCTTTAAAAATAGATAAATCAATTTTTTATTTAATAAATATGAAATTGCCAACCACAGTACCAAAAATAGATTTAAAGATTGTATATTTTCATATAGCCCTGCTTCTTAAAACCATAGTAATATTTCTTATATTCTTCATATGCCCTAAGAAATAAACAAACAAAATAAATCAGGATGCAGAGGGAAGTTCAAGTGGATTTCTGACACTAACAAATGAATAACAGAAACACACCAAAGTAATGGGGATGGACATAATTGAGTCAGGCTACTGTGGAAAATAATATCTTGACTGGACACTGTCAGTCTAATGACAAAAAGAACTATCCAAAAATGCCATGCTCTAGCAAACAAGTTTCTCATTGTTTACTAGAATTGAACAAATAAAATATGATGTAAATAAAAGCAGCCAGGTTTCTCAATGTTGGAGAAAGAAGGTACATGTAAGGACAAAAAAAAGGTTAAAATGAGCTCCATAGTATTAGATTGGAATCTAGAATACCAATGGGACTCACTATCATCATCATTATTTATTGTCATTTATGTCACACACACCACACACACACACACACACACACACACACACACACACACACACACACAGAATTCTAGTCAGCTTTTTTGCTGCTGTGACTAAATAAGACCTGACAAGAAAAATTAGAGGAAGAAAAGTATATTTGGTGGCTCACAGTTTCAGAGGTCTCAGTCCGTTCCTCAGGGCTTAAGGTGAGGCACAACATCGTGGCAGATGAAAGCAGCTGGGAACAAGGCACCAGGAAGGAGAGAGAGAGGGGGGTGTGCAGGAAGGAGAGGGGGGGAGTGCTCCCCTCTCTATGGATGAAATGTAAACCCCATAGGCATCCCCACTCCCAGGGACCCACCTCCAACTGCACCACACCTGCCTATAGTTCCAACCCAGTTAATCCCTGTCAGAGGCTTAATGCTCTGATTAGATTAAGGTTCTCATAACCCAATTATTTCACCTCTAAACTTTTTTGCATCGTCTCACACATGAACTTTTGGGGGACATCACATCTCTAAACCATAACACACACACACACACACACACACACACAGAGATGGTATGAATGATGTTGATGGACATGCATGTATGATTTATAGATATATAATTTCCTAGTTCTGTCTACTGAAATAATGACCTAGAATAAATGATATACAATCTCAATGAGCACACCCAGTGCCCAGATGTAAGTTTCTAAACACCATTGTCCAATAAAAAGAATCAGTACTCCTTGGAGAAATGGCAGGGTAGCCCAGAGAAAATGCAAAACAAATCCGGGGGAAAAAAACTTGTAGAGCCAGAAAATAGAAAATTGTTCAAAATGAGATGGGGCTTAATAATGACAAAGTATCAAAATACTCAACTGATTAATTCTAACAATATTATGCAAAATAAATTTGAAAAAAGAAAAGAAAAAGTCAAAGGCCAAAAACAACATTTGCTTAAAAGCTTACAGTCTTATCAGAATAAATGCTAAATGGATTCAAGATCTAAATGTAACAGACAAAACCAGAGATCTGCTGGAGTAAAACATGGATGAATCCCTCATGGTCTACAGTGGGAAAAAACTTTCTAATTATGACTCAAAGCCTAGGTGCAATTTAAAAAAATGATAAATTTGAAAGCATTAAAAACTTGTAATGGAGAAACCCAAAAATAACGTAAGCAAATAACAGCAACAATGGCAATAAGACAAATGGCAGAGGTGGGGTTATACTTGCAGTTCTTACTACAAAGAGTCAGTTTCCCAAATATATACAGCCTTCTGAAAAGTGAGAAGAGAAACAGCAAAACCTTACCCCCCCCCAAAAAAAGTGATTATAAAAAACAGCCACACATTTTGTAGAAAAGGATACCGAATGGACTCTGAAATATGTCAAAAGATGCTCAGCTTCTTTCATAATAAGAGGACTGCAATATTGAGAGATCATTACCAATTAGTTGGCAGAAACCAGAAGCTTGACTGTGCTGTGAAGTTGCAGGGGAACGGTGTGTCCCAGGCATGGCTGGCAGGATGGGAAATGATACATCGCTATAGAGAAGAATGGCAACTACCAAAATTACACTACTCTTTGCCTCAGCAATCTTCTTCCTAAGAACCTTCTTGGAGGATAAATATGGAGCAATATATGCACTTAGTTATTCAATGTAGCATTTTTAACAGCAAAGGATTGGAAACAGCCTACCTGTTCATCAACAGCAGACAGGCGGATGTTGTGTGCCAGAGAGCACTTTGTAGCCATCAAACAGGATGAGAACAGATAGAGTTGTGCCCCAGGATATATCATTAAGTGGAAAAAACAAGACTTATAGTACACCACCTGTTATGGAAGAAAGAAGGGAGAATGGGAATAGCAAAGCATATTTACTTACTTTTCTTAAAAAAAAAATACAGGAAAGATAAATCAGGACAGGATGAAAATGTTTATTCCTGGAGAGAGATGCTCGGGATGGGAGTACGACCTCTAGGAATGCCTGTTTATAATGCTTTGTCTCTCAAACTCTACAAAGGTTCTACATATTCTAAAAATAAACCTACATCAAATGGAAAAAGTGAACTCTTAACATTGAAGCAAAACAGAAACAAATGAACCTAACTATCAAATTGATATAACTGTAGAGGGAAAAGAATTTTTTAAAATAACTTTCAAATATAGTATTTCAAGTGTAGCATTCTATAGATCCTCCATGGTATATATTATAAGGACAAAAAGAACTGTAAATAGGTCTTAAACTTGGCTCAGGTTGAGAGAGAGGCAGAAAGACAGATGGAAATAAAACGAAGATGGCCAGTTTTAAAGTGTGTTGCACGGATGTGGCGTGTGTGCCATTCATTATGCTAATTTTTCCTGTTGATCCTTAAGTTTGAAATTTTAAAAAATAAAATGCTGGCAGCCTTTGCTAGCACTGATAGGGGTATTAGAGCACCTAGGCTTGTAGACTTACCCATGCCATGTGCATACTTTGGGAACTGGAAAAGTAATTCCGCTTTCTTTTTCAGCCAAGTGAGGGGTCTGGAGCTGCATGCTATCCCGGGTTCCTCCCAGTTCTGAAGTGCGCGTCTATGGCCCACAAGTCAATATCCCACCACACTGAAAAAGACAATTCCAAGGCAAAACTCATTGCAGCAAGGGCCTTCAGGGAGATAGCATTTCCAAAGACATTTTTTTCTTTTTAAAAAAATTGTGATATATCATATAACATGAGATCTGCCCTCTTCACAAATTTTTAAGTAAGCAATAATACTGTATTGCTTATCTACAAGCATGACATTATACAGCAAACTTCTAGAATTTAATCATCCTGCATAACAGAAACTTATACTTGTTAAAGAGTGACTCTCCATATCCCCCTTTCCTAGCCCCATGTAAAACATTAGTTCCACCAAGCACTTTATAGCACACTTAGTCATTTCAGGTCCCCCGTCTATTCCTAGTGATGTCTTATTCAACCAAACACTTCCAGAAGTCAAAACACTTTGGTATTTTTTTTTATCCTCACAATTAATCTTGGAAGAAAAAACTTAGAGAGAGCCGGGAGCAGGGGCACACGACTGTAATTCCAGCAGCTTGGGAGGCTGAGGCAGGAGGATCACAAGTTCAAAGCCATCCTCAGCAAAAGCCAGGCACTAAGCAACTCAGTGAGACCCTGTCTCTAAATAAAATACAAAATAGGGCTGGGGATGTGGCTCGGTGGCCAAGTGCCCTGGGTTCAATTCCTAGTACCAAAAACAAACAAACAAACAAACAAAAAACCTCAAATATTTTTCATAGGATTTGCTCCTGAATTCTCATAAGCAACTGAAAAACAAAACAAATTCATATCAAGGAATTAAAAATCATCTCATAAGAATGAAAATATTTAGTATGCAGATATTTCCTGGTGTTTTAATATAATTTTTTTTATTTGTTGAACTTCTAAGTAACTTTTTTGATAGGGCAGCTTTGACTCTAGACTTTTATTTAAACTTTTCAATAAAAGGAACATCTATGGAAATTATCTACTTGAGTCTTCTTTTATGTCGATATTGCTATGGTTTATGTGTGGTTGGTCTTCTGGGAGTTCCTGTGCTAGAAGGTTGGTCCTCAGTGTGGTATTGTTGAGGTGGTGGGCCTTTAAGAGGTGGAGCCTAGTGGGGTGTTACAAGACTCGACCCTCCCCTCTCTATGGTTTCCTGTCTGGTGTATCTGTGATCTCTTCCTCCAACACGTGCTTCCACCATTGTGGTGCCATCTGTCATGAGGTCCTCACCAAGAACCAATTGATGCAGGTGAATCTCCAGAACTGTGAGTTAAACCTCTTTTCTTTATAAAATTATCCAGCCTTGTGTGTTTCACTATAGTAATGGAAACTAACACAGATACAATTATATTTTAGTACAGTCACTCATGGAGTTAAGTTGCATCTGTGTGTTTGTATTTGTACAGGCAATAGGAAGAATGCCCTTGTTGGTAGTTGCTGTGTTATTCTTGATACTCATTCATTTCTTTCTTCATCTGATTCACATTCATCAAAGTCCTACTATGTGGCAGGCTCTGTACCAGGCCCTAGGAAAACAGTACTAAGCAGCACTATGTTGCCTAGTTGGGAAAACACTTTGGTGGAAAACATGGTTAGTATGAGTCTAAGATGTGCTCCCAGGAAAAGTTCTGCCCCTAGGTCCTCCTGAGCATAGCAGATGTGTAGGCTATGGACCAGAGGCAGAGGTTGGAATGATTGGGGAGAGGTGAGGTTCACCCCAAATTGTGAGGAGATACATTGAGAGTCCCTAAGATTGTCATGCTGTTGGCTTATGTTTTGGAGAGTGTTGCCAAGTCCAGCCGGAGCTGGTGGTTCTCATTCTCTGCTTTGGTGATTTAGTTGGCTACTTCTCTGATACTCAGTTTTCTGTTTAACAAAATGGACTAAAGATATAATGAAAGGAAATAATAAGAGTGAAATGCCTGGCACTCTGCTTATGCCAAAGTGAAGGAGAGGATCAGCACTTGTTTCTGAAGATGTTTAGGCTACTTCCAGCAGTGCCTTTATTCTGTGAATTTTTTTTACCATCACCCTAGGAGATAGCTGTCATTCAAATCCTCGTCATTTTACATCAAAGAAACTGAAGTTCAGAAAAGTGGGAAAACTTGCCCAGGTTCAGTCAGTATGGATCAAGAATTTAAACACAAGGCTCTCTAACCCCAGATTTTATTTTCTTGTTTTGTACACTACGAGGCCTTTGGAAAGGGGGAAAGTCTTACAAAGGTGCTTTGTTCCCTGAGCTAATGGAATTAATTGATCTATTAATATTTTTAATAGTCTCAGTTCATTATCACCTTAATTTCTTAACTTTATTTCTATAAATAAGTAGTTAAGAACTGTTCTTGTGGCAAATTGTTACAGTCTTCACCACCCTCTTTTGTCTTTCATCTACCCCACTTTCTCCTTTGCTTTACCTGCTTTTTCCCCTTGATAGCTAGGTTTACAGCCTTGGCCTAAGCCTTTTAGATTTCGTATATTACTTTTTAAAAAAGATCTGGTATATCCCCACAAATATAGCAGCTTTATTTAGATAGTTTTTTTAAAAAAAACTGGGAAAAGATCCACAAATATTCATTGACAGGCACAAATAACAAATTTTGGGACATCTATATAATGGGACCATCAAAAAGAACTAACTACTGATTCAGAGCAACATGGATGAATTTTAGAAATATTTTGCTGAGGGAAAGGTGCCTGGTACCAAAGAGTACATACTATATGATTCCCTCAATATGAAATTCTAACTTATAGTAATAGAAAACAGACTTGTGGTTGCCTAGGACCAGAAAGGTGGATAGTTGGTGGGGATTGGCCATCAGGATACTGGGAGGGTTTGGGGATGACAGAAATGTGTTATAATGTTTAATATACAACTGTGTTAATTTGTCAAAACTCATTAAACTGCACTGTCAAAATAGATGCATTTAAACTCACGTAAATTATACTTCAATAAAGTTGAATTTTTTAAAAAAAGTGCTCTTGAAAGTGTCTATTTTTCTTTTCATCAGGCCTGCTGCTGTAGCAGGTGTAGTCTGTGAGTAGCATGTTGTAAAGGCGTTCAGAGGTGCTTGGGGGTCAGGATATCACGTTCTCCAACCCACATCTTTCTGGGAAAGATCAGATGGGTCTGTTTGGAAGTCAGGGCTGTTTTTCCATCACCAAGGGGATTGCTGCGGAACACCGCACCCAAAGTTCATTATCTCAGCACTTAATGTTTTGTTTTTGTTTTTTCAAAATACAGAAAAGTAATTAGAAGACATGATGGGCAATAACCTCTGTGCCAAATTACCTTGTTTTAATTTGATGATGCTTTTGAATTGTTCAAGCTCAAATAATTAATTTAAAAACTGCCAGTCTCTTGATAGGATTTTTTTTTTTTTTTTTGGGAATGTGCATGCCAAGTATTATAAGGAATGTTTGTCATGGTAAAATCGTAACCCCCCTAAGACACACAATGACCACCGGACCACTGATCTGCTTCAAGTGTTAGAAAGATAATAAGACACACAGAGGAAATGATTACCTGGGCAACCTCTAGCAGTTGAGGTTTGACTGTCTCTTCTGTGACATTGATCAAACCCCACTGCTTTAATCAGATCATAAGAAGACTGAATTGGGTTTCAGATTTACTCAGGGTTGATCATTGAGTTCATTCCTGAAGGTTCTCCAAGGCACTAAAGCACAGAAGAGAAACCATGAAGATTGGGGATTTGCATGGGGGAATAAATAATTTTGGTAAAGACACCATTTTCCATCAGGCACTTCATGAAACAAACTTTACAGAAGTCTAATGAGATTAATGAATATAAAATTGAGATGGAAACTATTAAGTCTCATTTTCTTTGGGAAGAAAAATAAGATAAGAGGGGATGGAAGGAGACCAACCTCATTTGCATGGTTCACTATATTGATAGAGACCCTTGTGGAGGCCCCACACCATCTTCCTTCTTGCCAAGAGGAGCACTCTTCCCTCTGCTGCTGATAGGGTCTGCCTTCAGTATAGTTGGCCTCTCTAAATGAAACTAGAGCAAAATTCCAGGCCATCTTTTGTAAATGTTTGTTCTTCACAAGGGCAGGGCGACTTCCTTAGGTAAGCTGGCTGAAGATCTGAGCAAGCTTGGAAAAGAGAGCCAGGCATGGCCTTGAATTTGTGGAGTACACAGTCACCCTGGCTTGGAGCCTAAAGTGGTCTCACAAAGGTTATGGAGCATACAGAGCACAGGCCTCCAAACCTCTAAGTTTAGCTCTTTTGGTAAAGGCAAGTATGGGGTGAACCTTATAAAGTCAGTTTTTTGCTGATGCAATCTTAGAGCATGACCTCACAAGCCCTAGATGTCACCACTTACTGAAAAGAGTGACCATGTCTTCAATAAAACGATGGCTGAGATGCTCTGGGGATTTTTATGGAAAATGAATCTGTGAGCCACATAGAATCTGTTAAATTTTCAGAAGACTCATTCATGAACATGCCTGGCATACAGTAAGTACCCAGTGACTTTTGAATATACAGGTTTGGCCTTGGATTCCATGCACCTGTGCTTTCATGCCATGTCTTCGTCTTTGTCTCAAAAGGTATCCATTTTTAAAAGTCTAGATCAAGTTGGCTAATAAAGATGGATGCTTTTAGAAATTCTTGGGTTGACTGGGTTCCCAATAGACATTTTGGATAGCCCCAGGGCAGAGCCAACTCGAGAATGGATGGAAGACTGGTTCATTTTTTGGCATTGGTACAATGTTCCCAAATCTGAGTCTTTTTGAATATAAATAAGTTGATGTCAAGTTAGTCAATCATACTGATTTTTAAAGAGTCCCACTTTTAATAGTCTATCTTGATATTAGATCATTTTGTTCTAGTATGGGTTTCAGAAATCTCAGTGTGTTATTTCACAAAAGTCATAAGATTCACAGAAGTGATAAAAATCAGAGTTGCATGTATATTGTGGAGTCAGTGACCGAAAGTCTCTTCTCATTTATTTATAGGGTCATCCCAGTTCCAAATTCTAGACCTCCATCTTGGTTTCTTGTGGTGGATGCCCATGTGCCTTTCCAAGGCCTCTTGAAACTGTGAACTGAATTTTTTTCCATTTTCATACCAGGTGTAAGAAAGACTTAATTAGAAGAGCACCTGCTGTCATACTGTTCTTCTTGATTATATTATTCATGTTCTCACTTCTTTAAGAACTCATGATGATTATTTGGCTGTGATTACTTTATGCAGCCAAACCTACTAACTTTACAGTGTGTTAAAAATTACCAAGCTTTTGGGGCTGGGGGTTGTGGCTCAGCAGTAGAGTGCTCGCCTAGTGTGTGCGAGGCCCTGGGTTCAACCCTTAGCACCTCATAAAAATAAAAAAATAAAACAAAGATATTAAAAAACTAATAATTTCCATTAAAAAATGACCAAGTTTTTATAGATTCTATACTCTCAGTAGATAAAGAGGCATTAAAGTATTATGAAACTAACTGCATTTTGTTTTATTTTCCTTTTTTTCCCCTTTGTCTGTTTATCTTAACTAGTTCAGAAAAAGCTGAAGTTTAAGTGGCCCTTGCTGGCTTGATAGTCTTTGGATTTTTCTGGCTTTTCTAAATCTTCAAGCCTGTCCTCTGCTGTCATCAAGCATAGGACACATGTCACCACTGAGCAGCTTCCTCAGAATGTGGACAAGTCTCTTTAGGCAGTGTGGTCCTATCATAAGTTGAATCCACCCTCGTGGCGTCTAGTAGAAATTCTGCCAAGCAGGGAGATGGAGGAGTACCAGTGTTAGCTGGGGTGGTCTGTGGAGGGGACATTTGAAGATCCATAAAAGAATTCTCTAGAGAAGAGATAGCATGTGCAAATGTCCAGAGTTACAGATATGCTTTATATGCACATACACAGACACAGACACAGACACACACACACACACACACACACACACACACA